CATTCACATTCGATTCTCATTTTCTAGTCTATAAATTTTGACCTTTAAGGAAATCCTAAGATATACAACTTGTTTTTTATTAGATCATATTTCGAGGATGACCTTGCTTTGTAAGAGACTTTCTCTCTGAGCCTTTCAGCTGATAAAGTCCAGTTTTGATGCATCCTGTGCCTCAGCAAGAAATCTTACCTGAAGATCTCCTTTAAGGATAGAAAGTCCCTTCTGGAGAAGGATGAATCACCCAAATTCAGAGAGGGCAAGTGACATTCAAAAATGTGTAATAGAAAGCATACCTCTGATTTGAGGTGGGAGAAACCATGTAGTTCTCACCCCACCTCTTCCTTGAACAGTCGTTTCAAGGAAGTGAACTAGAAAGGCAAAAGTTGAGCAGCTCCCTCTGTCAGTACATGAATGTAGTGGCTCAATTCCTGAGCTTTGAATCTGCCCAAATCCATCATTTTCTTTTCCTTTTCCTTTTTTTTTTTTTTTTTTTTTTTTAAATCATATGTCACAATACACAATTTTGTGCTCTCTATAGAGCAGTTCCTGCATTGTGAAATTTTTTTCTGGTGATTATCTTCTGGATGAAGCTCTTTAAGGAATATTTAATCAAGGTCAAATCTTCCAGTACTTTGGTTAATATAATTGAAACAGGAATTGAGACTTCCATGTCTCTTAAGACAGGAAAACAGGCTGGTGTTTTTTTCCAAAATACATATTACTATTTTGAATCTGCACACCAAATACTTCTAAATGAAGCAGACCTAAAATGCTCAGAAGATGTGAACTCTTCCTTCTGGTATGAAGAGCATTGGCAAAACAAATAATAAAGATGATGTCCATTTTTATTTTCTCTCTCTAAAATTCCTGCATGGTGGGGAAGCCTTTCAAACTGTTTCCCAAGTTATGCTGCTTCCCCACTTCCAATCAGCTGGCTCACCATTAAAAAGATCAGGAAAGAAGGGTAGGGAGGGAAGGACAGAGCGAGAAGAAAGACTCTGCTAGTCTTATAAAGCCCATGCTCCACCTCCTGTGTCCTGCACAACGGCTGGTCCATAGGTCAGCTGGAGAAATGGTGAAAAATCACACTCTCTTGAAAAGAAGGGCTAAGGCAGCCAATCCATGTCTCAGATGTAGTAAATATAGGGAAAATATTATTGGGAGTTTTTGCAAAGTGTTTTTGACCCCGTGAGAAGGGAGGATTTCAAGAGCCACCTGGACACTGGAAGACCTTTTTTGCCTTTTGTCCACATGACCTTGTGCTTGTACTTTTGGTACAGATGATAATTCCCAGCATAGATATTTTCACGTTAATGGTCTCATAGTTCCTCTTGAGAAGTCTCTTGTGCCTCAGGTCATTTCCACAGCTATTCCATGTATTTTTCATGTTTTCTTGTTCTCATACACTCCAGAAGAAGACTGGGGAGGTTTCTGTTGTCTGTAGCTGGCCTAACTAGCCCAAAGTGTTACTTGGCATGTTCCTGAGACACTTCTTTTTGCCCCTGGAGTTGTCTCTCAGCATTTGCTTTCTCTGTGTCTGTCCTCTTCCAAGTCTTTTTAGAGCCCCTTGTCTTTCATCGTTGGCAGAATGACTGATGTCAGGAGTAAATCTCCACTCCATTTCCCTTCTCACCTTCTCTGCCCTGCCTTGTTGTGTAGTTTTTTCTGCCACGCATCTTGTTCATGGGATGGAAGGATGCCGAAGACAGTAGAGCATGGCCTTGTGTGTTGGGGAGTCCTTCCCTTACCAGATTCCTGCTTCCTCATGCTGTTCTATGGCTGACTTCTGGAGTAAGTCTGTCAATATTACTCTATCCATAATCCTTAGCAGAATGACATCCTATCCTTCTCTACCCCAAATTGTTTGCTGCTTGGTAATTTCGCTGGATTCTGCATGTATTACCTTACTCTGGGGAGCATGAAATGTCATTATTTTGTATATGCTTGCAAGGCTGCAAGTGCTGTTACTGTTTCCGTTTTATCTAGCCCTTTCTGTCAGTTGTGATCACAATGTTTGTTTCTTGTAATCACTCATCACAGAATTTATCAATTGACTTCTCCATGGGTGACATTAAATATAATGCACACTATTTGCTATTTTTTTTCCATTTGTTCTTACTTTGCTCTCAAGAAGGTCAAAGAGCTGAGCCCACTGGCTTTCATAGTGACCTCTACAGTTGTCAGTTTTTCCATCTCATCCCATCTAGTAATTCTTTCCAGGCTAGATAATCCTGTACAGTATCTCCTATACAATATGTTAGTATTGGCATACCTTTGACCATGTGGGTTGTATTTCTCTAGGCTTTGTAATCGCTTACTCTATCTTATTTGGGGTAAGGCAATCAAAGCTGTGCATAGCACTGTATTGTCAAAGGTGATGGTGGTGTAATAGTTCACACGTTGCTGAGCAAACTAGAAGAAATTAAATGAGGCAGTTTTGCACCCTGACAGCCGTGCTGCTTGGCAAAGGGCTTCCTTTTTGGTTTGTAACTGAAGATCTGCAATTTCTCTCTAAGCTCTCCTCAATATTCCCTGGAATACCGTATGTTTGATTGAGGGACAGAAGAGAGATCAGGTTTTCAGTGAGTAAAAGAGCAAAGTGAGGGAAAGCTTGTGCTTCTCTTGCTTGTTTGCAGGCCCAAAATACCCATATAGCATAGTTGGAGCAAATTGCTCTGTAAGTGAGAATATATGTCTGTGTGTATGACTGGCTCTGTGGTATAGTGTTCAGTAGCATTCTTTACAACAAAATACATTAGGAGAAGGGGAGAACTGGGGAGTTCTTTGTGGGATGAGAATTTCTATTATGAAAGAGGGAAAGGAGGCAACATTCTCCGAGAGGAAAAACCTAGTAAAATTCTGGGACTGTTGATGCGTTTCAGCACAGGGAAGGGATGCCAGTGATGTCGCTCTGGTGTAGCTAAGTACTAAGCAGCATTAAATAGTTAATAATAATTATTGTATGATGAAAGAGAAATGAATAAGACTTCTGCTTTCGCTCTCCAAGATTATGTTCTACCGAAATGGAAGATATGGAAGCTTTGAGAATAAATAGCACTGAAAGCATTTTTACAGCATGGTCATTGTGTGTAGAAAATTAGACTGTGTCAGAAAAAGCTTTTTTATTGCAAGAATTCTCGCTACGTTTAGTGCTATGGTTGCATGAGATCTAGTCCAAAATTAGTGAAATTATTTCAGATTTTGAGGGGACATAAGTGAGAACAGAATTTGTCCTAGGACGTGGGGTTATAATGTAAAATTTTAGAATCAACATATAACATATCAATATATGTTATGTCTAACATATATTTTAGAAAAACAAACAAACGAGTAACATATAGTCACTCAATAGAATGATAAAAAAAGAAAAAGCCAAAGTGCAAAACCGAGGAGCACTGGAGAGGTGGAGAATAACATTTGGCTGAAATGGCAACTGTGGGAGCTCTCTTTGGTATGGGATGCCACCTCGTGGAAGTCTTCAGTCTGTTATTTCTCTCACCTTCAAATCTCGAGTCTTCCGCACTACTTCATTCCCTTCCATCCGTCTGTACTCACAGCGTGCCCCTTGGCGTGCTAGCGCTGTCACTGCAGTAGCTGGAAGGGAGCTGTCACCACATACAGGGGACATCGTTTCCTTCATCGAGGCTTTGGTCTTTAGAGGAGGAAAGGGTGAAGGTGGGTGTGCTTTCTGCCTCAGCTGACACACCGCCCCACTTCTCACTTTAAAGGACTCTCCTCCCAGGTATTTAAATGCCTGCTAGGGTTTCTATCTTTCTTCTAGTTCTTCTGCTGTTATCTTCTGCTCATTGCAGTCTTTGATTCTGAGATCTGACCCTTTTTTGTCTGATTTTCCCTTGATCCCATCTGCTCCTTTTACTCCTCTTTTCTCAATAAACCTTCTGCTCCTGTCTTTCTTCTAACACCCCTTTCTTTATCTGGAATGACCTAGTGCTGTTGTGCTGATGACTCTAGAAATCACTGCCCATTTCCAAAATACTTGAGCTAGGGTATGAAAAATCAAGCAGTAAGTCTGAGAATACCCCTCTAATTCTGAATTCAGCTTCTGTAGGAAAGTTTCAGTCAAGGGTATTATTGTTAGGTGGAGGTGGTAGAAAGTTCTTTGGAAACATTTGCAGTCTCCATGGGCTGTCATGAGGTTGTCAGCTGAAGTCAGCTGGAGCTATCAGCTATCAGCCATGTATGGCCCTGGCATTTTAGAAATGCTATTGGTAATTAAAACTTTGAATGTATCCTGTGTGGTGAGAGTTGCCTCTAATCTAATGAGCCATCAGGCTCCCAGCCTGAAGAACTACTTGCAGTTCTCATGTAACAGTTGAAGAAGCTGAGCCGCAGATTGGATTCCTGAGAGAACTTGAGATGCCAAAACTGCAGCAATTCAAGGATAGAGTAGATGAAATTTAAAGCAGGAGTGATAGGATGCCTGCTTTTGGAATCTGGAGACAGTTTAAACCTCTGGAAACATGCGCAGCGACAGCAGAATGTGATCAGACTACTTCTGATTGCCCTGCACACCAACCATATTGAAAAGTGGGAAACCACAGGAGTGCTGTGGGAGTCTATCCCAAATCCCAGCCAGTGGCCAGGCTCGTCCTGTGGCAGTGGGTTACAGAGCAAATATTTATTGGAATGATAGTACTGATTGTAGTTACCCCCTAAACTTCCTGGCCTGTCATAGGAACTGTGGGATGGTTCCTGTGATGCAGACATGCACAGACATGATGTGGATCAGCACAAATATGTGCTATGCGGCACTCCTTTGAATAATGTTTTTTCCCTTCGTACAGAAAAACTATATTGGGCTATGCTGGTGGGAAATTTCATTTGATCTCATTTTGTTTCAGCACCAACTCAGAGCATTGGAATGCGAATACCTGAGAACTTGCTGAAGAAATCACCACCTCAGAGTAGAGGAAAGGAGGCAGTGCCATTTATTTTAACACTAAAACCTTTTTCTTTTTTTTTTTTTTATCTCTTTGCAGTTATGTGGCTGTGGGCTGCTGGGCGTGGGCATCTGGCTCTCAGTGTCACAAGGAAACTTTGCCACGTTTTCTCCCAGCTTTCCGTCGCTTTCAGCTGCCAACCTAGTCATCGCTATTGGCACAGTCATCATGGTGACCGGCTTTCTGGGCTGTCTAGGTGCTATCAAGGAAAACAAGTGCCTCCTTTTGAGTGTAAGACGTCAACACATCTTTCCACTAAGACCAGTGACCTTTGTTTTGTGAATATTTTATTTAAATGACCAGTACAGAATAGTCCTGTGCATCGCTGCTATTGCTTCTGGCTTTCAACATTCTGATTCTCATAACAGGACATGCTTTACAGTAATATCACTGGCATATTTGCAAACGTATTCTTGTTACTGTTCACAGCGGTGTGTTAGATAGCAAAATAAATTGTAATTTATCTTCAGGTGCCTCTGAAGAGCTAAACATGAGCTGTAGGATTAATTTGATCATCTTTCTGGAAATGTCTATTAGAAGGATTGTTTAACAAATCTGAAGCACAGCTGCTTTGGAATACCACTCGCAGGCGTTCTCAATTTTGCCCTTTTCTAAGGCCTGTGTCAGAGGTTGTTGGGAGCCATCTGACTCAGGCTTTATAAATAGGTAGCTGTATATATATATATATATATATATATATATATATATACACACATTTATAAAATTGAGCCTTGGCAGTCCTTATGTAACAGTGAAGCAGAGAGGTGGGAAACCCTCTCAGAAAATACACTTTGCTGTCACACCAACCCAAGAGACTTCTTCATGCCCGCTGCCCTCGCTGAGGAGGAGATGAGTTTTGTGGCAGGAGGGCTTTCAAAGCCACATTCCAATTCAGTCTCAGCTTGTGAATCACAACTGCTGTCAGTCCCACACAGGAAATCATCTCTGTGCCAGGTCATATTGACCATGGTGGTAATGAGCTTAGCATTTGTTCTATAGACTGTATGGAGGCTGCAAGCTTGCTCCAACAAGCAAGATGTAAGCACCTCTAATAGCTGGAATAGATAGTAGGGTAAAACTCAAGATTAAGAGATCAGTAATGGAGAGCCCTAAGGGAGTTATAGGGGCAAAATTTTATTGGTCTACCTATATGCGTGGAAATCAGCTTTGCGTATTTTTGGAAATGGAGGAAGGTTATGGAGAACAAGGCCTAGAGTCTTCAGATTTTCATGAATATCAAGCAGCTCAGAAGACTCCCCAGTATTGAGTGTCATCTCCAATATTTTATGTATAGCAGTATCAAAAATGTTTGGGGACTTCTGTGGCACACAGGAAGAAGTAAAAAAGCCCAAACAGTATACACACATATAGAGGATGTGTGTCAAGACAGAAAGATCTTCTCAGTGAGGCATGATGGAAGATACTTCCCACACAAAGAGTTTGGATAGGGTGAAAGATAAAAGAGGCCCTCTTGGTTACCAAAGTTGCTAAGGAAAGTCTGTGAAAACTACATAGGATAGCTCTTACTGCTGCCAGTGCCCATTGTTGTGGCTGTTTCACAGTGGGATTTAAGAGATTTAAATCTATGGAATTTAAAGCCAGATTGTCATGAGCACTGTCTGTCATACAGAGCCCCCAGGACTGCTCTTTATTTGGCAAGTGTGTTCAATGAGTCTTTTTTTCTCTGTTCCAGTTTTTCATCGTTCTGCTGATAATTCTCCTTGCAGAGCTGATATTAGTCATTTTGTTCTTTGTTTATATGGACAAGGTAAGCATATAGTTTGCAATATAGATTGATTATCATTTCTAGCAGATAAGCCATAATCGGTTTGCTTTCTAGCAGGTAAACCATAATCTGTTTACTTTTGATTCATGAAGGTATGTGGTTTCTCCTTGCTCTTCACTTGATCCCACCTTGAGATCCTGGCTGTTTAATGTAAGCTCTTTCTGAAGGGTGAAGGGGACAAACAGGAGGAAAGAGAATCTGTTGAACTTTGCAATTTCCTCCCCAGAACAAAAACTCTCCTGCACCTCCTTTTTGGTCTTCTCATAAAAGCAAAGATGCACTTCATTATAGCTCTTTACTCTCTGACCAAGAAGTTGAGCATCTTCTGGACTTGGGTTACGGGAGAGGGGCTACATTGTGCCTCGTTACCTTCTTAGGGTCAGCCATCCCCGTTAACAGGACTGGAGGAATGAAACATGGACAGGGGACTTAGAGTTTGACCAGGGGTAGAGGCCAGATCTACAAGGAACTCATAAAGTCCACGTGTAGGAAGCTAGCCTGTTATGTAGTAGACATTAAGAAAAGCGAGTGTAAGTAGCTGGCCTAGGAGATGTGTATGACTGGAAAAAGCTTCAGAGAATTGTAGAGCTCAGCTATGCAAAGGACAGATCCTTAATGGATGATCATATCCAGCCCAATTTTAAAACAAAGCTCCATCAGATTTGTATCTTTTTCCAGGTTTTCATGATGGCTGCCTCTTTCAGGGAGCTGGGGTGAATTCTGATTTGGATTCTTTCACATCTGATGGGATGTGAAAGAGGCATGAAATAGTTCCTATGAAATAGTTAACAGCCAGGTTAGGTTAATCCTTGTTCCACTGCAAGCTCTCTACTGAGTTGCAGGCTGTTTTGTAGCCTTTTAGCCTCCAGAGCATCCTTGGATTTGGCTGACAGAGCGGAGGTGCCTCTCTCTCTGCATCCTGGATTGCAGGCTTGGGTTGAACTTGATACAAGACATTGAACATACCAGATCCTGTGTCAGGCGTACCAGATTTCTTCTCTAAAGAAAGAAAGAAGGGCAGATTCATAAAATGCTAATGCCTACAAACCTGTTTCCATGAGGAGAACAATAATAGTGCCCTTTTCGGTTAGTTTTGTAGGGCAAATTGATTATGGCTTCCCAATCTGTGCAAGAGACACCTACATAATAACTGGGAGGGTGGGTCTTTGGTCTTAATATCTAAGCAAATGAAAGTAGTGTTACAGTCTGGAAAAGTGATAGAAGGCAAGGGTACACAGGTCTGTTCCATTGGATCCTTTCTTCAAAATAGTGGTGCACTGACCTGCTCTATTTTTTATGTGATGCAGGTCAGTGAGAGCGCAAGGACAGATCTAAAGGAAGGCATGAAGCTGTACAATTCAGAAAATAATGTTGGACTGAAAAATGCATGGAATATCATTCAAGCAGAGGTAATGAAAAAAATAACAATTTGACCAGAATAGGCTGACATTCTTCTAACTGTGACAACTGTGTCCCATCTAAAAGATAGATAGTACAGGCTTTTATTTCTGATTTTGAACATCCAGGGAGTACTCTGAAACCCAGGAACATATTTGAAAGGTGAAAGGAGCTCACCTTTCTTAGAATCTTAGTTTCACTGTATCTACCAGCTGAAAGGATGATCTGAGTGAGATAAGCAGCAAATCTGCAAAATTCAGAACCACAGCTTGGACACTAGCTGGGTTTTGTGCAGGTCAGCAGCTGTGGACAGATTGGGATCATGTCTCTATGACAAGAATGACCGACACACCTTGGGGGTGGGAATGTTTGGGTTCTGTTTGTTTTTAAGTGCTCGCTTTTAGTGAATCCTGGACACAAAGTACTTCAAAAGTGTTGTGGCAGCCCTGTTGAGAATGTACCATGGTTTTATATAAATAAAAACTTATGGTGGTATTCATTTTTCTGTGGTGTTATATAAGTTCATTTATTGACCCTGTACTTGTTCCATAGATGAAATGCTGTGGTGTGAATGACTTTACGGATTGGTACCCAGTACTGGGAGAAAACACTGTCCCAGACAGATGTTGTACAGAAAACTCCCAAGATTGTGGTCGGAACTCCACTGAATTAGTGTGGAAAACGGTAAGGCTCACTTTGCTCAACTTGTAGGCTTTGGGAAGAGTGGGAAGGAAGGAAGAAAAGAAAGAAAGGGCATGTAAAAGAAATGTGACCTTGAGAAATCCATTTTCATCTTTCAGGGTTGTTACGAGAAAGTTATGATTTGGTTTGATGAGAATAAGCATGTGCTTGGCTCGATTGGGATGTGCATCCTCATAATGCAGGTAATCAAGCTGTGGTATTTGTTGACATGGCCTTCATTTGTTACAGTCAACACTCTTGTCTCTGCTGTGTTAAAAAAAAACCTGTGGTCCTCATGCACTTTGAGTTTGTTCATGTTTACAAAATCATGCTTGTTCAAATTTGATTTACTAGTCCATTTGAGGTGATGACTCCGAAAGCAAGTTCGTCAGCAGTTAGACCTTCAAAGAAGACAAGTTACAGTGGAGTTTTGCTTATGTGCATTCAGCTTCAGACTATTACTTTGGAGTTCGCAGGTTTAGCCTTGTCCCTTAGAGAAATATTCTCTTTCAGTTTTGGAATTCCGTTCTGGAAATTGTCAAAATGAGTTAAATAATGGCCACTGAATTGAGTAGATGAGGTAAAAAAAATGCAAAGGATCATCATCATCATCATCATCATCATCATCATCATCATCATCATCATCATCATCATCATCATCTGTTAAGGTTCTTTTTTGTCTCCAGAATAAGTGTATTTTGGAAGAGAGGAGAAAAGGCCATATATTTTCAATCACCAAGCAGAAACCCTTGAGTAAAAAAGAAGAGTGATTTGCATGTGTCAGTTCTGAAAAACTGTTGCTCATGAGACAAAGAGCCCTAAGAGCTCTTTGTCTCCATCTATGCTTTTAACAATATCTTCAGATGTTGCTGCATGCTTTAACAGCATATGCCCAAGTTTATTGGTCAGCGTGGAAGTTCTGGGCTTAAGAAATGTGACTAGAGTAGGACCCAGGTCAGCAGTGCAGTTTTTGCAGTCTCTCTGTACTGAAACCTTTACTCTTTGCTTTCCTTCAGATACTCGGCATGGCCTTTTCCATGACACTCTTCCAGCAGATTCACAGGACTGGCAAAAAATATGATGCCTAAAACCTCTGAAACATTAATTGCATCAGCCCTTCGATCCCACCATACAAACAAACCAATGGAATGATCACAAAGAGTAACCAGCCTGGCCCTGCTGAGAGAATCCGTCCTGTTGACCGATCGACTTCATCATTATTTGCCGATTATTGTCACAACTTGTGACTCGTTTTTTGTCTGTTTCACATTTGCCATTATTTGCCAAAGATGGGGTGGTGGTGGGGAACCCGGAAAAATGGCTTTCTATACTAAGTCATAGATCTGCTATTGGAATATTTCCTTAACTTTATTTATGAAAGGGTTTGCTGTACTAATCCATACTATATGCGCTCAAATGATGTATATTCAACTGTAAGAGAGAATTCTACAAAGTCTTCTGTTTTCAACCTTCAGGTCCAGCTTACTGGAAGACTTGGAAAAGCCACTCAAACAGAGTTCTAGAAATTGGAGCTGCTTGGTTTGCAGCTTCTTGTACCTTATGGTATATACTTTTTTATTACGATAATGATTATTATGATGATGATGGATGTAGCTTAGAATTTAGTTGCCTGATTTATAACTTTTTACAGTTTCTGTTTTTACACATTTATTGTACATTAATTTGGGAACCACTGTGCGATCTCCAGAGGATGTGCTTTCCAAAGCTGGCAACTGTTGGGGGTAAATAAAGACATAATTTTTCTCCAGTCCATGAAAAGGCATCTTTCACCTTTGTCAGGGCCTTAGTGCCCTTACTTGTATCAACAGTGGCCCTTTCAAAGCAGAGGCTCTTTTCCTTGGACAGAAGGCAACGTCCTCTCATTGGGTCAGATGGCAGCTTCCTTTTCCAGTGAGGCTAAGTTCTAAGTCTGGGTTCTCCCCACCCAAAGCAATCTCTGCCTCTTGAATTGCTGCCCCTCACTGAGTGCTTTGATGTCACCTTACTTCAAAAGGTAAGACTATTTACTGAGCAAGTAGTTGCTCCCTGGCACAAAGGAGAGAATTGCAATCTGACCTGCTGGGCAGTTGGGAGCAGACTTTACAATCTGTGCTGTCCATTTCCAAAACGCTACCCAAGGCACAATATGCTACTGGGTAGGAGAAAGGGGGGTGGCAAATTGTTGGTGCCCTTCTCATGCCATGCCCTACATTGAAAAGGTTTCCTCAGACACGTGACAACTCTTTCCCTGAGATGACAAAGTGGCTTTGGACAGTGAGGAAGGTAAGGTTGATTAAAGGTGAATAGATGTGCAAGAAAGGGGTGGTTTCTGAAGCAGCACTTGGAGCCGATATTTGTTTGCACCCTTCCAGCATAGAATTGGTTCATGCTGGAGGATTGTGAAGTCCATCCAGTATGAAGCTGAGAGGCATATTTTTACCAACATTCCTCCTAGGAAGCTTGAATATGTATTTCTTCAGTTTGAATTCTGCTTCACTGCAAGCAGCCCCCATTCCCATTGTGTTTCAGGTTTCTGTAGAGGTCTTGAGTTTTGTTGCTTTGGAAAGGAAAGAAACATCAACCATTGGAGAAAGGGGACTGTGACCCATTTGAGATGGGATTGATTTTGACACTATAGCACTGTTTCAGAAACTGCTGCACATGATGACTTCGTGCTGTTGTGGTATCCCTTTCAGTGCCATGCCATGCCAAACTAGTCTGATAAAAAAGGCTTCTCTTGATGTTTGCCCTAAATATTTTTATTTTAAACTCCTAGAATATAGTGTTTTTAATGTATCATTGAGCTGATCTTTTGCTGGTGGGCTGAAATATCTCTTGAACCAGTTCCTATCTGAGAAGTGTTGGCTCCCTGTTTATCTTTCTACCAGGTCCTGCATAAATCTGTACATCTGGCAACAGTAATGTTTTGTGTGGACTGTTTGCCACTTCCAAGTTCCTATGGGGTCGGTGTGACGGGAAGTAGTATGGGGGATGGACATTAATTTGGACATTGCAGTGAAAAAAGGAGGTTATTATTCGTAGAGCATGGCCTTTGCCCATCTGAACACGGTTCCCAAAGTTTCTCTGGTCTCTTGATTCCAACAGAAGCAGGCAGCATCGTATGGGCTCATCTGTTTCAGTTGTATTGTCTTTGAAATACTCAGGAGAGGAGTGGAGGAAAGCACAGAAACAGAATCTAAGTTTACTTCCATTTCTTAAAAAAAAAAAAAAAAAAAAAAAAGAAAAAGAAAAAATTGGGACCAGGAGCATCTGAGCCCCACTAGAGATGGATGTGCCATGTTGAAGAAGGGGCTCTGATGCCCAACATACTTGCTGCTACATGTGAGACTGAATCCAAAGTTATTAAGATGTGTTCCCATTTTTGCAAGACACAAAGATTTGCATTATTTGATGCATTCACTGCTTTCCCCATTTGGACAGAGTTGCTTAGGTTTTTTTTTTTTGTTGTTGTTGTTTTTTGTTGAAAGAGGTGCTTAGGTCTCTCTGTCTTTCTCTGGGGTTCAAAAAAAGCAGAATTGACCAGGAGCGTTCATATCTGTCCTTTTGGGTCGCACAATGGTACCTGCCACATCTTAAGTTTTAATATGCAGTCAGTTTTTGTACAAAAATGGTCAAATATATTAGTGAAATAATAAGGAAATAAAATATGTTTATGAGTAACTCAAGAAATGAAATGTGTAGTTGCAAACTCAGCTTTTTTGCCTCCCATGCAATCTTATCTTTCTAGACTGCTTCATAATCTGATAGCAGCATAGATCCCGAAACCTTTATTTCAGTGACTACCTTTGGCGTTTTATTAAGTAAGATAGTTACACAAGCTTCATTTATGTATCTCTACAAGATCACCTACAGGAAGGGAGTCAAGAGAAGGGCTGATGGTGTTTCTAGCTGACTCACTGATGTGAGAGGAGATGACTGGGATCTCTTGATGAAGGGAGCAGAAAAGATACTGTTCTCCAGACAACAAAAAGCAGCCTTGGAAGGTGTGAGGCTGCAGTAGTCAGCCAGTCAGAGAAGAAACTAACTGTCCTGTACATGCTTGACCAAAGGAAGCTCTGTCCTCATGTATGTATGCACTTTTTTTGTTTAGGCTGGTGAGCAGCCCTCTCTGTTCTCCCCATACGTCACTCCAGTTATTTAACTATGAGGTTCTAGCATGTTTTGAAATAAAACCTGATCCTGAGTAAAAATATTTCTACTGTACCCAGATACTGATTTGCATTTGTATAAATGCCTTCCTCTCTGTATTTTAGCTGTTGACATTTCAAGTCCGTGCAAGTGCTGTTTCTCTGTTCCTTTAGCACACCTGCTGTCTCGTGGTGCTTCACGCTCGGAAGCATGCTTGGAACAGAACTTAAGCCGAGATGTACTGGGAGAACTGAGCCAAAAGAAATAAAGAGAGGAAGGTTGACTGTTAAAGTACTGGGTGGAGGGCAGCTCTGCTCGAAGGCTGCAACAGTGATCATTCCACTGCCTCCTAGTAAGGCAGTTGTAGAGAGCCCAGAGGAAGGGCACTGAGAAGAATGCTGTGCCATGGCTAAATGGCATGTGAGAGGATAAGAATAATGGCATCATCTCTCCAGGGTGGCAGAAGATGTGTGTTTTGCATTGAGTTCTCAGACTCTGCTCATGGGAAGCTTCCCTGATTTCTGCCTGCCGTTAATACACAAACTCACGCATAGGAAGGCTGCAGGACAATAAAATTAATTCCCCTGGTCTTTCCTGGGAAGTGCGTTGGGAAGGCAAAGAAAAGGCAAGGAGGGAAAAAGTGTTTTCCTAGGAGAGAGTTACTGGGAAGCAGGCCGGAGCATAATGGAATAGGGCATGCTTATAATCCTCATGTAAATTCTTTCCAAAGAGTTGAGTGGCTTCTTCCTGTAGGTCACATATGGAAACCTGGAGATATTTGGCTGTGTGTTGGCCATCTGTGGCCATCTGTTGTACAGTAGATAATAGATACTAAGAGATGATGTGCCATTCCTACCAGGTAATGTTTGCACCAGTGTTCCTTCTAAAATTTTACCTACTTTAGCCTTTATACAAAAGATTTTTATTCGGATGATATAATAATAAAGAGTTTTTTAAAGGTGCATCTTTGATCTCATTTCTCTCCCACTCCCAACTACCCTAATATCAAAAAGAGTAGAAAAAGAAGGAAAAAAAAAGAGGTGACTTCTAGAGATCCATCCAACCTAAATTTCTCTATGGTGCTACCATAGCTATTTGCATGAATGGGTAAGTATAAAGCCTTTGAAATGCTCAGAGTTGAAAGAAAGGAGGAGGGATGGATAGAAGACTGGGTGACTGGAGAGCTAGTGGCTGAAAGGAAGAGGGCTGCGGCTGGAGAGGGTGATGGGGAATGGGCAGGACATGTAGGAGTGAGGGTTAGAATGAGTTAGAGGATACATGTGTAAGGGTAAGCTGGTATGTAGGACATTTATGGCTCACAGTTGAAAGCCTGAAAAGGAGAAGATGAGCTGGGGAGACATTTATGGGGTCAACTCCTTTTTTTCTGAAGAGCTAATCAGAATTTTCCATGTTCCAATGGAATGGACAGCTATCATCCTTTCACTATATGCATCTGAGAAAAGCCTAGCTCTGTCTGCTCTAAACCATCTCCACAGTGAATGGAAGACTGCAACGAAATTTCCCCTTTTTTCTTCCTAAAACTGAGCAAACACAACTTTCTCAAATTCTCCTCTTATGTCATGTGTTTCAACTGAAAATCATCTTCACTGACCTCTGTCAGTTTCTTGTAGTGAGGAATCCAAAGCTGGCTCTCATAAGCATCAGTGACAGACAAAGACAGCAGTGAGACCCTATCTTCCCACCTATGAGTTGCTCCCTCATTCTTTCAAGTTATCATTGCATTATCATGCATGTATGTCCTGTCTCCCAAGCAACCCTGATGGATCTCTCCTGGACTTGCTGCAGTATGTCCATATCTTTCTTCCAGTTGGGAGCTCCAAACTGGATGCAGCACTCCAAGTGCAGTACCATATGAAAGGGAATAATCACGGTTCTTGACCTGATGTCAAGTCTCTCTAACTATCTGGTTAGAGAGACTGATCACAAGTTTTGGAGCCTTGGAGTCAGTTTACCTACTCTATTGACCACTTACCCAAACACTATCTCAACTATTTGGCCATAAAAATAGATAAGGTGACAAAGGCCACCTTGCTTAAGAAAAAGTAAAAAAAAAAAAAAAACCCGCCCTCCATTCATCCAACCAAAACAGCCATGTCACTGTAGAAACCTATCCCGTTGGTCAGGCGTGATTTTCCATCAGTATATCCATGCTGGCTGTTTCCAGAGAGTTTCCATTGTTGGGAAACAGATTCCATGAGCATTTGCTCTAAAACTTCCCAGGGACTGAGATTAGGCTGACTTGCCTGAGGTTCTCTGGATGCTTTTTCTTGCCTTTCTGGAAGACAAGATGTATCTTTCTGGAACACTGATGTGCTGCATGTCTTTTCAAATCATGAGGAATCTCCCCTGGTGACCTTTGGTCCCCTGGTGACTATGACCTTTCAAAGATGAAAGTGGCCTCACAGTGACTTTAGTCAGCTCCCTGAAATGCATTCAAGGTAGACCCATGGACTTACGTATGTCCAGTTTGCTTAAGTGGTTTCTACTGCAAGCCATCTTCTCTATGTTGCCAGGTTCTGTCTCCAGGCTCAGGGGCTTGGGACCATATCAGAAGGTCAACACATATTCATCTGCTTCACTTCTACACTCAGATTTCATTTGGAAAGACAAGAGAGACAAGATACAAAGATCCCTGCCAAATACAGCATAGGATGCTTGGAGAATTATCCAAAGGAAGAATAGCTGGGACAGAGGCAAAGGTGAAAGGAATCCAGATAACAAATGATGGATGTGAAGGGGCATCATGCAGGCAGTGCACTTTCTTCTTTGGATGTCTGTAGGAGCCACTAGATCCTGCCTTTCAAGCTCTGCCTGAAAACAGAAGAGGATGAGGAATGAAAATGTCCCCCAGCATGGCTGGTTTTTCCCCTGCTATCCTTCCTATTCTTGACAATGGGCATGGCGCCTTGGCAAGCAAGAAGCTGATGAAGCATCTTGCAACTCAGTGTTCAGTGAGAGGAAAAGGGTTTCAGTGAAAAGTGTCAGGAGCAGTGTGTGCAAATGCTCAGCAAGAAGATCTGGAGGAATGGGAGGAAGCTGTGACTCAGGCACTTGATGTGTAGATCTGCTTGAGGGTAGGAAAACTTTACAGAGGGATCAGATCAGGACAGGCTTGATAAATTGGCTGAGGCCAACCATATGAGGTTCAACAAGGCCAAGTGTAGGGTCCTGCCCTTCAGGCACAACAACTCCATGCAGCGCTGCAGGCTTGGAGCAGAGGGGCAGGAGAGCTGCAGGCAGGAAAGGACCTGGGGATAGGACATGGAAGCTCTGGCGTGTGTCCAAAGAAGGGCAACGAAGCTGGTGAAGAGGCTGGAGCACAGACCTTACAAGGAGCAGCTGAGGGAGCTGCAGTTACTTAGCCTGGAGAGGAGGAGGCTTGGGGGAGACCTTATCACTATCTACAACTACCTGAAAGGAGGTTCTAGTGAAGCAGGGGTTGATCTCTTCTTCAGAATAACTACGTATAGGACAAGAGGAAATGGCCTCATGCTGTGCCAGGGCAGGTTCAGGTTACACATCAAGAAGAACTTCTACATGAAAGAGTGGAGAAGCAGTGGAACAGGCTGCCCAGAGAAGTGATGGAGTCACCATCCCTGGCAGTGCTCAAGAAATGTGTAGATGAGGCACTTGGGGACGTGGTGTAGCAGGTATGGTATGGAAGAGCTTACGGTTGGACTTGATGAAAGTCATTTCCAGCCATAATGATTCTATGTGTATATGGAGGTTTTTAAATGTACCAGGTGGATGCAGGGGATTGCTCATAGTCAAAGAGCTGGTGTTTGCACTGGT